CTAAGCGTGTACATAGACTCTGGTTTCTCAATCAATTATCTGAAGACCTAACATCTTACAACAGTCTTTATGTCTATGATGTGAAGGGCAATATCCAGATACTCCGACTGAGAAGGGCCGTCTCAGCTGCGGTCACTCATCATGACGCGTTGCGCACTTGCTTCTCAACCAGGCCAGGCAATGGAGAGCCCGTTCAATCGATTTTGAAGACGCCAGAAGATTGCTTGAGGCACATCAAGAATCCTGAAGAGGACTCAGTGCAGCACGAAATGGAGGCATTGCGCAAGCACAAGTGGAATCTGGCCGACGGTGATGTCTTCCGTATGGTTCTCGTTAGTCATTCTCCCGACGACCACACTATGCTTATTGGATACCACCACATCATCATGGATGGTGTGAGCCTGCACGTCTTCATGCGAGATCTCAATGTACTATATGCTGGAAAGTCTATCAACAAGGCGACGAAGCAGTACCTGGATCTCGCACTAGAAGAGCGGACGGCTATGGAGAACGGTCTTTTGGATGACAAGATTGACTTCTGGAAGCGGGAACACTCCTCCCCGGCAGAAACACTCTCTCTCCTCCCCTTCGCGCGCGTCAAGTCCCGCCCAATTTCCGAATCCTATGCAAACATCGAGTCTGTCAGGGACGTTGGGCGCGACTTCTCGGAGAGAATCAAGCGGGCCAGCCGAGGTCTCAGCGTAACGCCCTTCCACTTCTATCTCGCTGGGATGCAGACTCTCCTGCATCGACTACTCGGCGTAGAAGACATTTGCATTGGCATCACGGACGCGAATCGTACGCCTGAAAGCTCTCAAGTAATCGGCTTCTTTCTCAACCTCCTACCGATTCGCTTCCAGGTTGAAAAGGCCGAGAAATTTGGCGACCTCGTCAAGAAGACGAGTCAGCGATATTATGCCGCGCAAGCCAACTCGGGCGTACCCTTTGATGTGATTTTAGACAAGGCGAATATCACGCGGGACATGACGCACACGCCCCTGTTCCAGGTCGCCATGAACTATCGCCAAGGCAACTTTTCGAGCATCCCCTTGGGCGGGTGCAGCCTGACTGTCAAAGAGGGGTTCGATGCCAAGAGCCCTTACGATCTCGCCTTTAGCGTCACGCCGACGGAAGACGCATGTTACCTTCAGATCGTGGGCCGAGACGACTTGTACGACCAAGCTGCGACAGACCTGCTCCTCGACATGTATGTGACGCTGCTCAATGATGCGGCTAAGGACACATCCAAGACGCTTCCGGAGTGCCAGCTCTATGATCCTCGTGATGTCGATCACGCGATCGCCATTGGACGGGGCGAGGACATTGACTTCGGATGGCCAGATACCTTGACTGAAAGAATTGATTGGATTTTCAGCTGTCACGGAGACGAAGTTGCTCTCAAGGATACGAACACAGCGCTGACGTACTCACAATTGGCTGGCAAGGTGGCTGGTCTGGCAGCCATACTCTCGGGTAAGGCGCAGCTCGGGTCACGAATTGCAGTCTTGTGCGATCCCACGGTCGACTGGGTCGTTGCTATGCTCGCGATTCTTCGTGCTGGTGCTGTTTATCTGCCCCTCGATACCAAGTTGCCCCGCGAGCGTCTAGCTGCAATTCTCGAAGCCTCGGAACCAGATTTGATCATTTGCCACGCGTTAACGCGGCAAAGGGCAGACGATCTTTCCAGCAACATCTCCATCATCGACGTTTCTGACAATTCTGACGTCGAAAATGTTCCAAATTTGGAACAGCCGGGCTCAGCGACGTTTATCCTTTTCACGTCCGGATCCACAGGGACTCCCAAGGGCATCGAGCTCACGTCCGCTGGCATCATCAACTACGCAGCAACCAAAGCCTCAAAGCTCCATCTCAACCGCGAAGTCGTTCTACAGCAGAGCTCACTCGGCTTCGACATGTCCATCGCGCAGGCGTTCAATGCGCTGACGAACGGCGGCACTCTTGTTATCGTTCCGCAAGAAAGCCGTGGAGATCCCGTCGCCCTCACGAAGATCATGGTTGATGAAGGCGTCACGTTTACGCTTGGCACGCCTACGGAATATCTCATGCTCATTCGACATGGTGGCGGGGGCGTTGAGAGGCAGAGTAGCTGGAGACATGCTTGCACCGGCGGAGAGGCTGTCAATGGTCATTTAAGAGATGCGTTTCGAAGGCTGGAGCAAGTACCCACAGTGACAGACTGCTATGGACCAACGGAGATTTCCTGCTGCGCAACGATGCGAACAGTAGATCTTGACGAGGAAGAAGCCGTCATTTCTGGCTCCGTTGGCTCTGCGAATCCAAACACCTCGATTCTCATCATCGATGAGGACGGCATTGTTGTGCCGTCTGGCATCCCGGGGGAGATCTGTGTTGGAGGCGTAGGCGTGTCCCAGGGCTATCTTGACTCAGATCTGTCAAAAGAGAAGTTCACAGAGAACCCATTCGCTTCCGCACGGGACGTTTCAATGGGATGGACCACGATGTACAAGACAGGCGACAAAGGCACCCTACGCTCCGATGGGTCTTTGCATTTCATGGGCCGCATGGATGGCGACACTACGATCAAGATTCGCGGGCTGCGTGTGGACCTTGAAGACGTCTCCAATGTCATTGTTCGAGAGTCCAAGGGAGAAATCGCAGATGCAGTTGTCACCGTTCGCGGGGATCCTGCTTTCCTCGTTGCTCACGTCGTACTCTCCAAACACTCAGTCGTGGTCGAGGCCGACCTCCAGATCTTTGCTAGCACGCTTCCGCTTCCCAGCTACATGAAACCCTCACTGATCATCCCTCTGGACCGCATTCCCGTAAGCAGAAATGGGAAAGTCGATCGCCTCGCCATCGCCTCATTACCCATCGCGCGCCTGCCAGCAGGACAACCAGGATCACCGCAGGGCGCCAAAGAAATGAGTCTTGCCGAGGGAGAGCTCCGTCTTCTTTGGGATTCCGTCCTTCACCAGACGTCCTCCCACTTGATCAACGGCGAGCCTCTGACATCAGATTCGGATTTCTTCCTGATCGGGGGCACATCGCTTCTACTAGTGATGCTGCAGAGTGCAATCCGCACATCCATGGGTATAGAGGTTTCTCTCAAAGACATGTACCACTCCAGCACGCTTGGAGGAATGACTACCTTACTCTTACGGCGGAAGAGCGAAAATCATGTACCGGAATCGATTGATTGGGAAGCTGAGACAGCTCTTCTTAGCCCTCTCGACCTTGGGATCCGTGGAGGTACACCGAGGAATGCAGTTGCAATGGAGATTCTCATTACGGGATCAACAGGATTTCTCGGCGGCGCAATCCTCTCATCCTTGTTAAAGAGTCCAGAAGTAGCGAGGGTCCACTGCATCGCAATTGAGGCCAATACCAAAGTGCCATCACACCTCCAGCATGACAAAATCACAATCCACACTGGAAGCCTCCTTGAACCCCGACTCGGCATGTCACCAGAGACCTACGCCCGCCTCCAAAACACAGTCGATGCGGTTATCCTCGCAGGCGCGCAGGGCCACTGTTTAAACAACTACGCTACCCTGCGCATACCCAATGTTGAATCCACGAAGGTGATGGGCTTGTTCGCGCTTCCGCGGCGGATACCGCTTCACTTTATCTCTTCGAATAGGGTCACACTACTTGATCCCGCCGCAAAGGCTGCGATGCCGCCTGTAAGCGTTAGTCGTCATTCGCCGAGGGCGGATGGAGGGGAGGGTTTCACAGCCGCGAAGTGGGCGAGCGAGGTGTTTTTGGAGAAGTTATCCGCAGCCGCAGTGACGGAGAAGAAAGAGGAGGGTCTACTACCCGTCACAATTCATCGGCCTTGTGCTGTCGTAGGCGACAAGGCGCCCCTCGAAGACGCGCTCAACGCGCTGCTACGATTCTCAAAGCTCATGGGCGCCGTACCGCGGATTGAAGGGTTGAATGTCGAGGGATACTTTGATTTCAAGCGGGTTGAGGACGTAGCGGGTGAGATTGCAACTGCTGTCGTCACTTTACACGATCCTACCACGTCAAGCCCATATCGTGATGATAGTCAGGCAGGAGGGGTTTCGTTCCGGCATTATTCGAGTGGTGTCCGGGTACCGCCATGGGAATTCAAGGTGTACATGGAGAAATCATATGGCGGAAAGTTTTTTGAGCTGGATATGGATCAGTGGATTGAGGGTGCGAGGAGAGAGGGCATTGAGGAGTTGATTGTTGCATATTTAAAGGCTATAACTGAGAGAGGGGAGACAATGGTGTTTCCGTTCATGGGAAGTGCTTTGTAAGTGAGCATAAGGCCGGGTTGTTTTGCTAGTAACTAGGTAGTACTCGTGCCCGCCCCCACTTTTTTGGGCATTCGGGACTCATTACCTACTAAAGTAGGTGCTTTTTAGCTAAACGGCCACGTTAGCTATACGGGTATAATTATTACGATTTATCTCTATATATTACTACTTTTACTACTTTTTATTATAATACTTAAATTTAATACTACTAAAGAGGAGCGTATATAAGTAGCTATTATAGCTATTTATAAAGACCCGGAGTTATTAATTATAGTAGTAGCTCGGTAGTACTCTATTCTATACTAAAAGCTTAGTTAGAGGATTTTTAATAAATATTCGTTAAAAGAGCGTACTAGTTATAGCTATAAACTTATTTAGGACTAAGAAAAGGCAATTTATAATTATATTAACTATTTAGACTAAATTAACTTACCCGTAAGGCGCGAGCTAGTTATTAGTGCTATTAATTACTTACTTACTAAGTTATGGGACCTAGTAGATATTAATAATACTAAGGACCTATTTCTTTTTTTAATTATTAATTTTTAATAGGCTAGTTGATTTATTAAGAAGTATAATTATTTTCTAGTTAAGGAGAAAGTACTAGACGCTAAGCGGTATAAATTTAAAGATAAGAATACTATTAATTTTTATTTTTTTAAGCTAAAAGAGGTCGTTAATAAGTATAGGATCTAGCTTTTTAATATATAGAATATAAACGAGACTAGATTCTAAATAGGGGTTAGGAAATTTAGTATAGTTATTACAAAAAGAAGAAGGGCTTATTACTTTGCCTTTCTAACTAATAAAGAGTCTACTACTATTATAGAGGCTATTTTTATTACTAAAAATTATATATTAGCTTTTTTAATTCTTAATAGCTCTATTTATATAGCTAAGTAGTATAGTATTAAAGAGCTCGAATTTAATACTATTATAAGAGTCTTACTTACTAACTATATAAATAATATAATAACTTTAGATTAGATTAAGTATTTCGATATATATATAAAAGGTCGAACTAAGGGAGCTAAGAGACTACTACTTATAAATAAGTATAGATCTTATTATATTATTAAGTTTATTAAGTACTATAATAAATATAATATTATCCTATTTAGATTTTTATTATATAGTTATTATAACCTAATATACATAACTAAGACTAGGGCCCGCCCCGCAGGCTTATAGTAACTATAATATACTATATATATAAGAATACGGGAACATAGGGTAACTCCTATAAAATAGAAAAACTATAAATAAGTTATATATAAATAAAAAATAGTAATTATATAATAAGGTAATTACTATAATTACTCTAAGTAATCGCTTACTAATATTTACTAAGTAATTACTTAACGAATAAGAATAATTATTAATAAAGGATATATTTATAAGTAGATTTATATATAGTATAGACTTAAGCCGGGCTTAAGAATAGACTTTCTATAGCTTTTTTAATAATTAACTTAGTATTAAATCTTATGATTACTTTTAGCTATTTTTATTAAGAACTTTTTTAATAAAATTACGATTAATTACTAAAGCCTTACTTATTTTACGACTTATAGATATAGCTTTAGGGAAGCTATTTACGATTACGATACTATTTACTTAGTACTCGTAGCCTTAACTTTTATTAATATACTTATTATAACTAACTAACCGTAATATTTTAATTACTTTTATTTAGTAAGTTTATTTTTTAAAAAACTAACTAAATAGTATAAATATATTAACTATTAATAATAATAGTATAGCGTAGCTTATTAAAGTAGTTATACTTACTATTTAATAATTATATAATATAATACTCAAACTTAAAAATAAAAATAAATAACTTTATATTTAGCTTATAGCGCCCCGACCTCTTTTAGTACTTAGAGCTAAGTACCTTAAATTAGAACCCTACGACGGGTTCTTAAATACTCTCTAAAGATTCCTTACCTAAACTAGGGCCTACTTATATTACTACGGGACCTCTTTTATTACTAAAATAAATAAAGTCTATTATATAGCTTTATTTTTTAAAAAAGATATCCTTGCTTAGTTTAAACCCTTTATAAGAGACTATTTTAAGAACGAATATAATATTTAGGATAAAGATACTAAGAAGATCTTTAATAACTATAACGAGTTTAAAAAAAGACTTAAAAAAACTTTTAGTAACCCTAATAAAAAACGAATTACTAAACGAAGACTTATAACCTTTATATAAAAAAGGTTAGTTAGTAAGTATATTTCTAAATTTAAATAAATTACCTCTAAGTTTAATTAGGGTAACGAAGTACTTATAATAGCCTTTTATCGTAGCTTAAAAAAAGAAGTTAAGGATAACCTCTCTTATTAGAACCGACCCGATAAACTCTATAATTATATTAATATAATTATTAAAATTAATAATCGATTTTACGAACGACGTTTTAAATAAAAAGGATAGAATACTTAGAATAACCGAGCTAAACTTAATAATAAACGTAAATATAAACTAACGATTATTATAATAGGGTATTATAGCGGATTAATAAATCTTAATATTACTAAAAAAAAATAACCTCGCTAGAAAAAGGACTTTAAGTATTATAACTATAATAAACTAAGATATATAGCTAGAGACTACTAATAACCTAAGCATATTTAATACTAACCTATTCTAAAAAAACGAGCTAATATTATAAATAAAAAAACCCCCTATAAATAACTCTTATAGATAGCTTACTATAATAATAATTATCTTACTTACTAAGATAGTAAAGAATAAATAGGATAGTACTTAAAGCGACCTAAGGATAAAAGACGATCCGATATTATACTATCCGTTAAGACCCTAGTAATAATAAAAAAAAAAAAGATATTTACTTATTAACCCTATACTCTTAAAAAAAATAATATCGAATACTTTACTACACTCTCTTAGGTTTATAAAAATATAAAAAAAAAGGGTAAAATAGACCCCGTTATAAAAAATACGCTTAACCTTTTTAAAAAACGAATTAAATAAAGACTCCTAGCTAATATAAAAAAGTAGCTCTTTAAGTTTAAAAAAAGAGGACCTAATATAAAAGAAATTATAAATAGCCTCGTATATATAGTATAACAAGATTATATAAACTAAAAATAATTTACTAAGTCTAAAAAAGGACTCGATCTAAATAAAATCTTAACTAAGTTTATTTATATAATATAAAGGGTAAATAGTAATAAAAAATTTATTTATAAGATTAAGGAATAACTCGAAAACCTCTCGTATAAAAATAAAATCGAAATAATTAAAAAACTAATTTTTAATTTCGGAATTATAAAAAAGGGAAAAATTAACTTTAATTTTAAAAAAGAAGATATTAAGATAAGAACTAGTTTTTTTTATTTTAATAAAATAAAATTATTTTATAATTTAGATAAACCTCGTAACGTTACTTAACGACGTACTTAGATAGAGATTAATTATAAAATACTACTTAGTATTAATAATACTAGTTCTAAAAAGGACGATAATAAACTACGGTATAAGTATATTTATCCGTTCGAGGATAACTAAACTATTTAGTTTTATAAAACTAAAGAACGTAAAAAGGTTATAATAACCCCCTATATAAATAAAAATTACTCTCTACTCGACCCCAAAGACCCTTTTTATAAGGAATTATTTTAAATAGAATACCTAGATAATAAATGCCTTTAGTACCTTATATATAAATAAAATAGTTATTTCTATTTATAAAAACGTAATAATAAGCTTATTAAAGATATTTATATAAAAAATTAACTACCTAGCTAGATATTACTAAGTTTTGATAATAATAATAGAGTAATATTTAGCCCAGACCCTAGCTTTTTTATAAAATACCTTAATAACGAATATATAGAATAGGAAGACTATAAGTATGACTAATACTAAGTTTATTATATTAAAAAAACTAAGGCCTAAAAAGAATAATAAGAATTACGTAAATAAGGTACTTAATAAAAAAAACGTATATTAAAAAACTAGAAAAGCTAATTATAAAGGAATAATAAAAAGTAAGAATAAAAAAAAAGTTCTTATATATAATTAAATAACATAACGACGCATACTTATAAATTAACTTCGATATTTACGAACGAAGATTAAATACTATTATTAATAGCGGTATATAAGAAAGTTATATTTTACTAAGGATAGTAAATAAACTTAACTTACTATAAATATAAAAAGATAACTTATATTAACTATAAATAGTAGAAGGAGAACGAGTTAACTACGACTATAAATATATTAATTAAGAGATCGTATACTTCTTAATATATATTAATAACTAATAAAAATAATTATAATACGATATTATAGAGATAGGAAATATTAACGTTATTTTAAAAATCTCGTAGTTACGAAAATATAACTTATAAATAAATTAAACTACTAACTAGGTTTTTTAAAAAAGTTTAGTTACTAAATGACCTAAAAAAAAGGGTTTAAACGGATTTTTAAGAACTCCTAAAGAATAAAAATAAATATAATATATAGTTTTTATTAGAATAGTAAAAAGCTCTAAGAAGTTTATAATTAATATTAATAATCGGGGATCGTAACGACTCTAAACTATACCTAAGGAGTATTAGATATATATAAAACTATTTATAGAACCTAAAGAAATAGGATTATTAAAATATAGTAACTAAGATATAAAAATCGAGCTTAAGGAAGGGATATAACCCGGGTTCTATTTAATATACTTAATAAACTAAGAAAAATAAGAATACTTTAACGAATATATTAATAAGAAATTTAAGAAAGGATATATTCGACCGTCGAATTCTCTTACTAAATTCCTCTTATTTTTTATATTAAAAAAGGGTAGAAAATTAAGATTTATTATCGATTATAAGAGACTTAACGAAATTATAAAAAAGAATTACTATCCCTTACCGCTTATTACTAAGCTTAAAGATCTATTTTATAGAGCTAATTAGTTTATTATTATAAATCTTAAAAAAGTATTTAACTAGATTCGAATTAAAAAAGGAAATAAATAAAAAACGGTATTCCGAACTCGTAGAGGACTCTTTAAGTATCTCGTTATACCCTTCGGACTTACTAATATTTTAATAACTTTTTAAATAATAATTAACTACGTACTCTAAGAATACGTTAATATCTTTATTATTATTTATATTAATAATATTCTTATTTTCTCCCCTAACCTCGAAATATATAAAAAGTATATCTATATAATATTTTAAAAACTCTAAAACGCTAAGTTATATACTGAACTTTTTAAATATAAGTTCTACGTATAAAAAGTAGATTTTTTAAAATATATTATTATACTAGGATAGATCTATATATAAATATTAAAAATAGAAATAATTAGGGACTAGCCTATACTATAGAACGTTAAGGACGTATAAGGATTCTTAGGATTTATTAATTTTTATTAATAATTCTTTAAGGATTATATTAATATAGTTAAACTTCTTAATAACTTAATATAAAAAGATACCCTATTCGTTTAGGATCCTAAGTATAAAGAAGTATTTATTAAAATTAAGAATATAGTTATTTTTAAACTAATTATTATAATCCTAGATTTTTAAAAACTTTTTAAAGTCGAGACCGATACTTTAAACTTTACTATAAAAGCGGTCTTAGGATAACGAGATAAATAAAAAAAGCTTTACTTATATTACTTCTATTTTAAAGTATTTTACGGAGCAGAATTAAATTAGCAAATCTATAATAAAAAACTAATAATAATTATTAAAGCATTTCGAGAATAGAGACTATAGTTATTTAGAACTAAATACGAAGTTATAGTTTATATAAACTATAAAAATTTTATAAATTTTATAATAAATAAAAACCTAAATAAATAATAAGTTAAATAGAGCGAGTTCCTATCTAAATTTAACTTCCGAATTAT